AAAAAAAAAGAAAGAGTCATATCTAAACTTGTGGCTAGAAAATGGGTGTAGGTGACTGAAGTTCATCTACAAAAGGAAAAAAGAAAAGACAGAAAATGCATTTTTTATGAATTTAAAAAAATCTCAATAAAGTAATCCCCTTTCATGCAAACAGTGTTAAATTATAGTACAATAAGCAGCTTTGTGATATGAAATAAGTCCAGTTTTTCCTTTAGTTATTTTGCAGAAAAGAAAGTGTGTGTCACTGTTAGATTGCAGCAATCTGTTTGTTTTATTTATTCTTTTATTTTTTTCAAGGACTAAGGACAGAGGACCATACAATTTGGACTTCACAATCTTCGCAAGCCCTTTAATTACAGTAATTACAGGCACTGTAAGAGCTAGTATCTCCCTAGCAGCTTGGGATTACTTGACCCTTGAACCTTTTCACACTAAAGCTGCTCCACGCTTCCTCACAGGAAGTTTTTATAAAATGAAAGCTTAGCTTCCGACAGCTGATCATCTGCATTTTCACTGCGGTCTAAAGACACTGGAAGATGAGGCAATTTAGTGCACTCTTATCAGAAAAAAGGCAGTGTCTGCTACATTTGGGAATCTGCTCTGTTCTTGTGTCAGATCTGTGTGTCTGCGGAGATTGAGCGCTGTAACCACACAGGAAGCAGAGAGGCCACAGCGGTCAGATGAAGCTTCAGCCACATTCACACAGAATCTGGTAATGTAGCGTCTTCTGCCGTGGTTACATGGAGGTATGGGTGTGTTTGTTTGTGCTTTATAATGCAACCTCTGCTAAGCAAGCAGAAAATAAAGTTTTATTTCAGCCATTCACACCTTTGTTCTCATTAAAGCTCTTCTTGTTTTCCCTTGACTCTCTAGCTCACTTGACCACCATGAATCAACCATGAGGAGGGCAAGTCTGAGTGTTGTGTTTACAAAAAGGAACTTACAAATACTTCACTATCTTGAAGTAGCCAAATTGATTTTTACCCAGAAGATGAGATTGTTGACCATGCGGAAACCTTTGGGGCTGAAAAATAAAGGCCAAAAAGTTCTTCTAGTGGCCACCTGAGGTTGGACTCCAAAAAGCAGGTTCATGCCCACTCATCCCGATGTTTAAATATCCAACTTTACAGCATCATCTTTACTGCCTAGTACAAAAAGTGGTTTTGATCAGGCCTTATTGGATGTTAACAACCTCATAGTATTGTTTGAACCCAATACAGCACTTGACTCTCATACTGCTGGTTTACTTTGGTTCCTACAGTATTTAAAAGTAGAATGGGAGGCAGAGCCTTCAGCTTTCAGCTTCCAGTTTGGATTCAGGACACTCTCTGTACTTTTAGAATTGGGCTTAAAAATGTTCTTTTTAATAAAACACAGTTAGGGCTCCTGTAGATATCCTGCAACAGGCTTGGGCTTCTTACCACGACGCATTATTTGTTTTTACTTCACTCACTGTTTTTTACTCACTGTGTGTTTATAGTACATTTTGCTTTTAATCATTACTTACTATTAATCTCTGGCTCTCCTCTACAGTGTGTCTTTATCATATCTTCCCCCCCTCACCCCCAACCATTCATGAAAGATGGCTGCCTTTCCCTGTGTCTGGTTCTGCTGCAGGTTTCTTCTTGTTAAAAGGGAGTTTTTCCTTCCCACTGTCTCCAAGTGCTTGCTCATAGGGATTCATCTTATTATTGGGGGTTTCTCTGTATTATTGCAGGGTCTTTACCTTACAATATAAACCACTTTGACACAATTGTTTCTGTGATTTGGCACTATATAAATAAAAATGAATTGAATCTCTATGGACAGTTTTTCTGCTTCAGAAAAAAATTGAAACACAGAGTTTATGTTTCAAATTTTGGTGCATGAAATTAAAGACTTATAAAGCCTGTTTATTAATAATCTCTGTCTCTGCACTCATACATCGTATGGATGCAGCTTGCTAACCAAGTGTCTTAGTGTTTATATATTCATAGTCATAATGATATATTGACCACATAATCCAAATACGGTGATTTCTGGTTTGGAAAAAAAAAAAAAAACTCACATGACAGTGGCAAAAATGCTAATGGTGAGGATTAAAAATGAAAAATCCAGCCACAAGCATTAAAGTGGCTTTGTGTATCTTTTATGAAATCCTGAAAACACCATCAGTAGTTTACCACTGAAACTTTGTAAAAATGAAAAAACACTACCCCAAATTAAACTGGGATATTTTTGGTGTAAAAAAATTAACTGGAACTTTTTCAGACCTGGAAATTTCTCAAGTTTCCAACTGAAGTTGGAGTACATCGGAACTGAATGTCTCCCGTACCGTTGTGTTGCTCTGCATGTTATTTCGTGAAGTCAGATTCACCTTTTTGTTACGTACGTTTATTTTCTCCACCTCCCTGATCTGCTTCTAATTCAGTCAGTGTTTCTTCTGCATTTTCCAGAATTACTTTCAACAACTCCCAGAGAACTTGCCTGGCCTTTGGCTTACACTTTTATTTATAGATGCAGCGAGCAATACAGCATACTAATCACAATACTAAGAGCAGAAGCGCGTTTTCCCTCGCTGACTTGCTTCTTCAACTCACAAGAGCAACACAGGATCTTTTGGAGCTGCTGACAAAATTGGAGACGTGGGCGGCAATTCAAAGGTCTATCCTAGTGTTTACCAGTGATGTTTTAGATTGCTGATATTTTTCCACTTGAATTAACCTCTTGAACCCAGATATTACCCTCAAATAGTGCCAGTATTATAAAAGCATTTTACTTCAATTTATAGTAGACTACTGTAGAAAAACAGATTCTCTCTGCTATATGGACGCTTTGTTTAAAGGATGCTTCTGTACAAGTTTCTTATATTTGGGGACAATAACCACATGTGATGTGCAACTTTAAATTTCAGTGGAAATATGCTCACATTTGTGAAGTTTTTTTAATACAAAATAAATATTGACATTCAGCATGGTGTATCCCTCTTACACACCCTACAGCACACAGATGGCAAAAAGACCTTAGTCTAAACTCATTGTCATTCACCATTTCCTCTCTTTCCTTTACTCTCCGTGTTGTCATTAAACAGGGCAGGTGAGTGGCGGCTGATTACCAAACATCTTTTCCTACCTTTGATCTCCTGAGGTGTGGGGCTCTAATCCATCTTGGAGCACAGGAGGCTGTCTGATCTAGGTGGTTGTGGTAGCCACTTAGCTCCTCCTCATCTCACATACACATATAGTATGTGTCCCCGCTCTTGCAGAGGGTACACACACAAGGAAAAGAAGATGGAGCTGCTACTTACAGGCACTCTGTATGAGAGAAAGGGAGGGGGGGAGAGAGAGAGAAAGAAATATGAGGAGGACAGAAAGAAAAAAATGAATAGGTTTATTTGAAGCGCATACACACAGACCATAACCAGGTAATCTAAGCCTTTAAATTGCACCGGGCATCAAAAGATGTATACATTTTTGTTATTTGTCCTCCTCAGGATCCTTAAGTAACTACATATTTTCAAAAGCAACCACATAATGCATTATAAATCAGGTGTCTGATCAGGTATCTCCCACTGCAGTCCAGATATTAATGCTGAGGACATCCATTTATCTCGCATACAGTAAGTTTGAAATCTGCACAGTTTCAAAGTTCACAGTCCCAATTTGCTGATGGTCTTGTTTTACTGTTTGTCCCTTACTCAGCTAGATCCCCTTCCTCTTTATAAAGCACATCCAACATTTTTCACACTGTCACCGCACATACTTTGAGCAGCTTTGGGAGCTCATCAGCATTCAAAACAACACCTAGCACCCAATATTCCAAGACAATTTTCGCAGTAAATGAGAAAGCAAATGTCACTTCAAGATGAACATTAATCTCATGTCATTGCATTTTAATGGCACCCTTACTCAGGGGGGAATTAAACCTCTCCCCAGAGATCAACCCCAGCGCTTTGCACCACAGTGAAATTGTCGTCTTTTGTTAGCAGATTCAGCACCTGCCATGTCAACTTTCAGCACACACCAACTTACCATGCTGCCTTTGAGTGAACATAAACATCAAGTCATGGAGAGCACTTGCTGAAAGCTACATTTTCTTTGTCATAAGCAGAGCTTGCAGCAGTCCACTGTGATTGTCAGAATTCTAAGAAAATTAATTATAAACAATCTGACAGACAGTACTGCATTCAAATGACCTTTGTGCACATTTCTTTTTTTTGCTGCCCACTACAGTGGATCCATTTCCATCTCACCTTATCGTTAGCATCGTCCTCTATCATTCTAACCCTTTGCATGTCCTCTTTCACTACATCCACAAATCTCCTCTGCGGTCTTCGTCTTTTTCTCCTTCCTGGCAGCTCCACATCTGACATCCTTTGTCCAAAACATGCACTATCCCTCCTCTGCACATGTTTAGACAATCTCAGCCTTGCCTCTCTAACTTTGTCTCCAAAAGGCTAAACCTGAGCTGTGCCTCTGATACACTTATTTCTAATCTTGTCCATTCTGGTCACTCCCAATGAAATCTGCAGCATCTTTAAACTCTGCCACCTCCACCCCCAGCTCCGCCTCCTCTCTTTTTGTCAGCCAAACCGTACATCATAGCTGGTCTCGCTACCATCTCGTAAACCTTCCCTTTCACTCTTGCCGCTATCCTTCAGTCACAAATCACCCCTGATACTCCTCTCCACCCACTCCACCCTACCTGCGCCCTCTTCGCAACCTCTCCTGTGCACTGTCTGTTAATTTTGGATGGTTGACCCCAGGTTTTTAAACTCTTCCACCTTCACTTCCTCTGCTCTTGGATCTTCACTGTTAGAAATGCCCTATGTGCTCACATCTTCCAAAAACATCCTATTATACAGCCAATAGAAAACAATTTGGTTCTGGTAGTTTGTCTCTTGTGGATTTCATATTTTGCCCATTCCTCAGTAGGAATGCTCTACTATATAACAGATACTGCTACTGTGCAATGATAACAGACAAAGAGAAATACTGGGAGCACTGCTACTCCACCAGCTTAGATTTGTCCTGAAAGTCCTCCGGTGGCAAAGCTATTTTACAAAGATGAAGCAATTGTTGTGCTCAAAGCGATGTTTCATTCAGCCCGGAAATCCACTTGTCTCTAATTACTTGCAAAAAGTTTGAAAGAATATATGCATCTTATGCATTTAGCTTTAGAGTATTATAGTAGGAGCAGAATAAAAGGTTAGATCAAATGAATATCTGGAGCTCTTGGAGGGGATGTGGGATAAATAGTAATAGGAAAACTTTTGAAGTGCTGACATATGTAAAGTTTCAGCAAAAAGGATATTGTTGCTGAATGTTCTTTCGCCCTGCTCTCCCCTCCAACTCATTTCACTCCCTCTTCCTCCTTTTTTATTTCTGTTCTTTTATCTGCCTTAAAGCTTTAGGCTGCTGTATACAAGCCAAAGGTACAGAATCCATTTCCCACCAAAACACTGCCCAGAGGACTCAAATCTCTATTGTACGACCTGCCCTACATTGAATAAACTGGGCTATTGCTCTCAAATGTCATCATGTGGAGATATTTCACATCAGTTACTGTGGACTGTGGAATACACTAAATTAAAACATGAAATAAAGAGAACTATGTTCTGAATGCTTAAAAGTTAAAAAGTACCAGAACTACTAAGAGCTTCCCATCAGTAAATTTGTTTAAAAAATAAAAACATGTGTTTAATTTTATATATTTATCTGACTAAATCCCTTGAGATAAACATGTGTGCAAATAGCTACACCATGACACGTGCATCTAGTATGTTAAAAGAATTAATCCACCATGTTTTGGTGGAAAAATGTTTGTGAGCAGTGTGCTTGTGATGTAGTAAAAACACCCCTGATGAGCAAGCTGCAGGGTGTATTTTAAAATATACACAACCACTGCAGAGCAAAAGCTACATTATGAAAAGACCTTATGAAATTGTTCTCATGTATCTTGGACCATCTGCACAGCAAGATGATTACCCTTAGGCTTCAGTTTTCCTGCACGTTCTCAACTCTAAATTTGTAAGTAGTAATTGCAAAAACAGTGGGTAGATAAAGCTCGCAGAAAAAATGTTCAGAAACACATTGAACATCGTAAAAAAACATCCATATTGTTTAATTAGGAAATTACAAAGTTACTCGATCCATCCCTTTCTATAACCCCAAACCCAAATGAGCCAAAGGCAAGTCAACACTCCCGTGGTAAAGGTTTATGATAAACATGATCATCTCAGCATATCGTAGCTGTGGAAGAACAAATAGTGGGTGATTTATCAGCACTGCAAAATAAGCCTCACTTTTAGACTGGTCTTTATTTTTACCACAAGAAAAAAAATCTATTTCAGTCATAATAAAATTAGTAATGGCTGAATTTAATTGAGCCGCTTATTATTATTAATATTATTATCATTACAAGTAACATCTGTGCTGTTTCTGCATTAGATTTTGCAAAAAGTCAACACTATTTTTCTCCCACCTATTTAGGAAAATCATCATATCTTATGCAAACAAACAAGCAAACAAGCTGCTACTTTTATCCCACTCTAACTGCAGTTGCAAGTGTAGTTGCAAACTTACACCCCAAACATGTACCTATATTGGTGTGTGGATACGAAGTGTTGGGAAGGTTACTTTTAAAATGTATTCCATTACAGAATACAGAATACATGCCCTAAAATGTATTCTGTAACGTATTCCGTTACGTTACTCAATGGGAGTAACGTATTCTGAATACTTTGGATTACTTAATATATTATCACGCTGTTTACAACTACATGAATGTACTATTGCTGTGATTTATTACTGTTACTGAAGGTCCGCGGCTCCAAACCGTAGTAAAGGGACCTCTGACTAATACGGCGGGTTCTGTGTCGGGCTCGTAACCCAAAACTAGCTTTACTTTGTTGTCTAGGTCAACTTTGCTAGCGAGAAACAGAGAGAGGTGTTGAAAGGCTGCTCCAACGGAACTTATTGTTTTTGGAGGAAAACACGAACACGGTG